TGGTTTACACTGTGCAGCACAAACAGTGCTGGCGGGCACCTGTGTGTGATATTGGGACTTTGTTCTCAGAATCTCAGGTCAGACTCTGAAAGTGTGTTCAGGCCAGGCAGCCACATCCACGGTCTTTGCCGACAGCACCTGTGGGTTTGGGTCACTCCCTCTAAAGTCATACTTTACTCACAGTGAGGCAGCCAGGCCCGTTCTTCCCACAGATCTTGCCACCATGGAGTTACCCTCTGTCACCAAAGTTATTCTGTTTACCGAGAGCTGAGGAATAGCCCAGTTGAGAAGGGCTTACCCTGAGGACACGAAGACCTGAAAACTTGACCTTTGGGATCCCCATGAAAGCCAGATGTGGCAGTGCTTGCTAGTCCAGTGCTGGGGCTGCAGGTTCTTGAGGTGGGTGAGCCATCTACCCTAGTCTAATTGGTGAGAGATCCTTTCTTTTAAAGTGACACCTGCCTGAGCAACAGCATCTGAAATTGTCCAACACAGAGTACCTGGTGACACACAGACTCCTGAAAAATAGGAAGGCGAAAGATACATACACCTCACCTTTCACAGGGAAAGGGAAAAGATTTCCTGGGAATGGCAGTGAGCCCAGCAGATTCATGATAAGCCAGACGTGATTCTGAGAGGGTAGGGACACCTGTGCAATGTAAACATCCTGGGAGAAGTCGATGGAGCCTGAGTTGATACTTTTTTATCTCCAAAGTAAACATTTGTGAAAGAAAATCAAGCCAAGGCTAAGGAGCTGTAACACATGCTTAAGTAGAATAGAATTACGACTGATGACACCTGGATATACCAGATTTTCGGGAATTTTCTACAGCTCATATAACACCTGTAACAAATACAACCTAAAGAAGGTTTCATGTCTTAGTATTTGACAAGGCTTCTCTTAACATCAAATAAGCCTCATTTAATTGCTGTCTTTTATGAAAAAAGAAATCCTGAGGCTACAAGACCCCTTCTGGAAACTTAAAAGTTTAAAGCAACTTTTTTGTTTGTTTGGTTGGTTTGGTTTTTGAGACAAGATTTCTCTGTAACTTTGGAGCTTGTCCTGGAACTCATTCTGTAGACCAGGCTGGCCTCAAACTCACAGAGATTCGCCTGTCTCTGCCTCCTGAGTGCTGGGATTAAAGGTGTGTGCTACCACTGCCCACCTTGTCAACCAACTTTTAATCGAAGTTAGAAGAATCGACTCTAGAATTTGGCTTTGGAATTATCAAACACTTGATTAGGTATGACCTTAGTTATCTATTTAAGCAAAGTAATAAGATATTTAAAGGAAATCTAGGTTACATATTTGTGAGCAAAACTTATCCTTACTAATGAAAGACTGAGTCACACACAACATGAAGAAGACATGAGATTGAACACAAACCCTAGGCTGGTTACCTGAGTTAAACTAATTTAAGATACTAGTTTTATATCTGTGTTATCATTAAAATTATTTCTTTGGGGGGGTGTTTAAGACAAGGTCACATGTAGCCCCAGTTGATATTAAACTTGCCAAGTTGACAAGCATGCCCTTGAACTTCTGACCCTCCTGCTTCCTCCTCAAAGATCTAGGATTTCAGGAGCACACCACCGTGCTCGGTTATCCAGTGCTGTGGGTGGAACCCAAGACTATGCTTTTTAGGCAAGTGCTCAACCAGCTGAACTACAGCCCCAGCCCCTAACCTAATTTAAAAGAACTCTAAATAGATCTTTCCAGTCCTTGGCTTTGACTACACGAGACGATACCAGTCCACCAGGCCTTTGGCTATCTGAAAAGTATCAACAAGCTGAATTTGGTGGTGCATGCCTTTAATCCCAGCACTCGGTGAGTTCAAGGCAAGCCTGGTCTACAAGAGCTAGTTCCAGGACAGGCTCCAAAGCTACAGAGAAACCCTGTCTCAAAAAAACAAAACAAAAAAACGAGTTCCAGGACAGCCAGGGCTACACTGAGAAATCTTGTTTCAAAAAAATGGGTTGGAGGGTGGGGGTGATCCATCATCTTTTTCTCGCTGTTTCTCCTTTTCGTAATCTGGAACACTCAATGATTCTCTTCCTCTCTAAGTGACAGTCTTACCACAAATGGAGTTCTCCTCATCTGCTTTGCACACAGGAGGTTTTCCTCGTCATTTCTAGTGGTTCTAATTACATTATTATCATTCCTAACTCTTAGGTCCCCCAGTTCTAGTGCAAACTCGGATGTAGGCACCCATGAACCATGGCTGCCAGCATTGCTGCTGGAGGAAACCTTTGCAGGCCCCGCGGCAGCTTGTCCTTCAGACTGTACCGCGTCTCAGATTTACTACAGACCCAAACACACCCAGTTCCTGCGTCCTGTGTAAAACCGGAGGCCACAAGCAGATCAGCTTAAGTTTATGTTTCCTTAGGAATTACCCCAAAGTTGAATAACAAAAATTTCTCAAGCCTGAACAAGCTGAAGGTTGTAAAATGACTTTTATTGTTGAAAGTTTATTTAAACTTTTACCCAGCTTACATTCCTATCCACTCAACAGTTATGGTCATGAAGATCTCACAAAGTATCAGCACAAAGTTGCTCTTGGTGACTAATCAAGCAAATATCACCAACACCACAGAGGCAAAGACCACCCTGTCATGTCCTTCCTCTGTATAGTGCTCTGGTCTTCCATTTCTGGCTTCAGCATTTTAAATACCCAGTAGAATTAACAAACTTGTTTAAACCCTAGGGGTGGCGGGCAGCCTATCTAGTTCAATGATTTTTAACCTGTGGGTTGTGACCCCCTTATCAAACCTTTGCCTCCAAAAATATTTACATTACGACTCATAACAGAAGCAAGGTTGTAGGTATGAACTAGCAACAAAAATAATTTTATGGTTTGGGGTCACCATGACACGAGTAACTAACTGTACTAAAGGGTCACAGCGTTAGGAAGGTTGAGAGCCACTAACTAGTCTGTATCACAGTCAGTGCTGACACACCCGAGAACATTACCTTATCAGTGCTGACACACCCGAGAACATACATACTCAGTGCTGACACACCCGAGAACATACATACTCAGTGCTGACACACCCGAGAACATACCTTATCAGTGCTGACACACCCGAGAACATACATACTCAGTGCTGACACACCTGAGAACATTACCTTATCAGTGCTGACACACCCGAGAACATACATACTCAGTGCTGACACACCCGAGAACATACATTCTCAGTGCTGACACACCCGAGAACATTACCTTATCAGTGCTGACACAGCTGAGAACATTACCTTATCAGTGCTGACACACCCGAGAACATACATACTCAGTGCTGACACACCCGAGAACATACATACTCAGTGCTGACACACCCGAGAACATACATTCTCAGTGCTGACACACCCGAGAACATACATACTCAGTGCTGACACACCTGAGAACATACCTGTTTTTATTTTACCAACTTTTTTTTTCCTGAGACAGGGTTTCTCTGTGTAGCTTTGGAGCTTCTGAAACTTGCTTTGTAGGCCATGCTGTCCTCAAACTCACAGAGATCCACCTGCCTCTGCCTCCCAAATGCTGGGATTAAGGTCATGGGACACCACCGCTGGCCTTTACCAATACTCTTAAAGGTTATTCTAAATCATGATGTTTAAGAACATCTGACCTTATTTCTGTATTTCTGAGAGGACTTAGGAATGTTTAATGAACATTCATCTCTAGACCAGTCTAAACAGGGTTTTGTTTTTTATTTTGATGTTTTTGTTGTTTTTATGGAGTTTTGTTTTATTTTGAGACAGGGTCTCTCTGTGTAGCTCTGGCTGTCTTGGAACTCATTTTGTAGACCAGGCTAGCCTCTAACTCAGAGAGATCCGCCTACCTCTGCCTCCCAAGTGCTGGGATTAAAGGTGTGCGCCACCGTCCAGCTGAGGACTGTATTTTTATTTTTATTTATTTATTTATTTATTTATTTATTTATTTTGGTTTTTCGAGACAGGGTTTCTCTGTGGCTTTGGAGCCTGTCCTGGAACTAGCTCTGTAGACCAGGCTGGTCTCGAACTCACAGAGATCCGCCTGTCTCTGCCTCCCGAGTGCTGGGATTAAAGGCGTGCACCACCATCGCCCGGCTGAGGACTGTATTTTTAAAAGACAGCTTGACTTTACAGGAAGTAGTACAGACAGTGTCATCTCTTGGATTCAGAGAGGACATTTCCTCAAGGGAGGCTGGGGCACGTTCACCCGACTTGAGAGGTCAGCCTGGAAACAGCTGGTAGGTTTGTGCTGAGAGGGTTATACCCACTTGCAGTAAGGCACCCTCTGGTAGATGCTTTTGGGGTACTCTCACCCCCTGAGAACTGGGGCCCCAATGTCCAAGCCTAAGGAGCTGACACAGAGAGAAGATAGTCCGGCTAGGCTTCAGAACACTGGAGACAGGAAAGCAGCTCTGGGCCAGAGCCATCTGGGAAGAGTCAGGTCCAAACAGAAAGGGGAGAACGGAGGACGGGGCAGAGCATGGGGTCAGTGGTTTTCTACAAAGGGTGTTGTGTCTCATGAGCTCAGGACAGAAGCAGCTGTCTCTGAAGGGAAAGGACCTGAAGCTCCAAAACTTGCTCTGTGACACAAGAGTCTGAGGAATTAAGGTGCCAAGGGGTGAGGAGTGTGAGAGGAGTGTGTGGACAGCTGAGCAGAGGAGTGGCCAAGGACAGGTACGCTCTGGAAGGGATATGCTGCCAAGAACTCCACAGGCCTGTTGCTGAGACCCTTCTTGGCTTTCCTGTCCTATGAAGTCTTCACAGGTGAAGGGAGGAAGCCGGGATGGCCTCTGGGATTTTGTGAACTGTCTCCCGGAAGAGGATAGATGGGAACAGAGTATGGCTCCCTCTTCACTTTCCTTTACAGCATGAAGTATCTGAGGTATGCTTGGTATGTTTGCTATTCCTTCATCTCGGCAAGCTGAAGGATGATGCACAGCTTTGGTGGGGGTCCGGGATAATCATGAAGCCCCTCTTCCATGGGTCCTGGCCACGTCCAAGGAACTCAGACCAGGTTCTCATACCAGCTGGTGTCGGAGAGCTTCTCACACAGGGCTTTGAAGCAAGGTCTCTGTTTGGGGTCTGGGCTCCAGCAGCTGAGCATCAGCTTGTGCATGGTGGGTGGGCAATCCTGAGGGCATGGCATGCGGTAGCCGGCATTCACCCTCAGGAAAGCCTCATGATTGGACATGCCTGTGGCCCATGGGAGGAGAGAAATGAGAGCTAAGAAGCTAGTGTCCACCCTCCAATCCCTGAAAGCTACACCCAGCTGCCTTTGGCCCCTCCCTGAATGCTGTCTCCAACAAGAATGACCACCACCAAGCTCGGAACATTTTCTAGCACACTGTGGCTGTTGCCTTCCCTGAGGACAATGTCTCCAGGAAGTGATCTCAGCAGCAGCTCCTGGATGCTCAAAGAATAGAACAGGGGTGGGGCTCTGGTTGAGGCTCTGGAAAGTACCTCCTGTCATATCTGTCAGCCATTCAAGACCTGCCCCCCACTCCACCTCACTGCCTGTCCACATTTGGGGGCATTTTGGGGATAATACCTGGATAGGGCACCAGCCCCTTGCTGAAAATTTCATAGAGAAGAATCCCAAAAGACCAGACATCAGATTTGATGGAGTAATGCCCTCGGGAGAGTGCCTCAGGTGCCGTCCATCTGTAGGGGACGTTGGGGTTGTGGGAAAGGTAGATGTCCTCCTGTAATAAGATGGCTTGTCGTGGGGCCCTGACCCTAGAGGGAGCTACCGCTTTTACCCTTCCTGTGTAGCATGGACAGGCATGGATGCCAAGGTCCTAGTGGGCAGGTGTAAACACGCTGCCTTATCATCTGACCCACCGACACCACCCCACAGCTACCAGAGGTAACTGCCACCAAAGCAGCTAGAATCATGGCTAGGCCCTTTGTATCAAAAGTGCCACTTCACGACAAGGGAAGAGCTGCAATGTGTGGGAATAGGAAAAGCTCAGTGCATATGGCTGTTTCCAAGGTGCCCAGAGCTGGGCCAGTGTGGCATGAATAAGGCTGTGGCAGTATGAATGAAGCCATTCCCTTGCCTGTTAACACCACCCTATCGAGAACTCATCTTTCCCATGGCTGGGTTCAGCTCAAGGCTTGGAAAATAAATCCCCATTCCTGCTTCTGGCTTCTACATCCGAGGGTCCTACCTTGACAAGCCTGGCCAGCCCGAAGTCCCCCACTTTGCAGATATTGTTCTCTGTAACAAGAACATTCCTAGCAGCCAGGTCACGGTGAATGTAATTCTGAGATTCCAGGTAGCACATGCCCTCGGCAACCTGTGATGCAAAGTCCAGCAGTTCTGAAATAGGCAGGCCTTTCTCACCAGAGTCTGCAGGGTGATAAGAGGCCAAAGTCAGTTGGCCAGAGTTCAGTTCTCATTTGCTGCGGCTGTGAAGGCTCCAGCAGAGGGCAGCTGGGCTGGCTTAATTGAAACATGAACAGCCCTAGACCTTCTGCAGTTATGTAGCTAGAGACAAAGAGCACACACATGCTCTGTCCCACATCCTTTCTGGGAATTATAAAGCAATCTAAGAGCAAAGATGTTGCTGCAAGATAGTCTTGGTGTATGGTAGCCACTGGACTTTCTAGAGGTTGCACATCCAACAAGTGTTATGCCTACAAGGGGTATGTGTTCTGTCTCTGAAAGACTACTTGCAGAAACCGCTTTTGAAACATATAGACTACACTTTGCTCTTCCAGATACGATTGCCCTACACGTAATACACATGCCCCAAGCACGATTGCCCTACGCCGCCCCATTCCCTTTCACTGATGTGTGAAGCTGGGCAGCATCTTTGCACCGCATCTCAGCTAATGGAGACAGTCTGGTTTTGTGTTGAAGAAAGCAGACGGGGTGTCCTCTTGTGGGTGAGAGGAGTTGTGTGAGGGTGTGTCTGTGCCGTGTGTGAGCGTCTATATTTGTGTGTGTCGGTGTTTTACATGTGTTTGTGTATCAGTATGTATAGTTCTGACAGGACAGCAAGTCTCTGAAAGAGAGAGGAGCTGGTGGGCAGAAGCAGGTCACCAGCAGGCTACACAGAGCCTATAGCAGTGACCTCAGTTAACAGTGGGTATAGAGATTTTGGACGGGTGTTCTTTTCTGTACTTATCGGTACCTTTTCAAACTTTATGATTGGTCATTGGTAGATTCGTCATAGTTTAAGTCATTTGCTTTTTTCTTCTTTGTCATGTATGTATACATGTATGTGGCGGTCAGAGGACAATCTTGGATGTTAGTCTTCACAACTGACAATTACGAGGAGAGTTTTTGTTGTTTGGTGAGGAGCCAGAGAAAACAAGGATTCTCCCATTTCCTCCCATCTCACGGTAGGAGCCTTGGGATAACAGGCTGCTTCCATGCTTAGCTTTACAATAGTCTGGAGATTGAAAATGCAGGTCCTCATGCTTCCATAGCAAATACTGTACCCACCCACCAAGCCATCTCCCCAGCCATTTGGGTTTTTGTTTTGTTTTGTTAATTTGTGTGTATGAGGGGATGTAGTGTGTGTGGTGTGGTGCATGTACTTGTTACTATGGGTATGTGCACATGTATACATGTGTATGCCTTTTCTTGATCTCCATCTTTAGGTTTTTTGTTGTTGTTGGTGGTGGTGGTGAGCAGGGATTCAAGACAGGGTTTCTCTGTGTAGCTCTGGCTGTCCTGGAACTTGCTCTGTAGACCAGGCTGGCCTTGAACTCAGAGTTCAACCTGTCTCTGAGTGCTGGGATTAAAGGCCTGTGCCGCTATGCTCGCCTTCCCTCTTTAGTTTTTAAATTTTATGTATCTGAGTATTTTGCCTGCATGTAGGTCTGTGTACTGCACGCATGCCTGGTGCCTCCAGAGGCCAGAAGAGGGTGTCAGATCCCTTGAACTAGAATCATGGATAGTTGTGAGCCAGCATGTGGGTGCTGGAAACTAAACTCTGGTCCTTTGTAAGAAAAATAAGTGCCCTAACCTGTTGAGCCACCTCTCCAGTCCCAACCCAACCAACCACCGCTTTAAAAAAAAAAAGAAAGAAAGAAAGAAAAGAAAAAGTATCTTTTTAAACTAGAAAGCAACAAGGTCATCTGGGAACTCCCAGCTGTTTTGTGTGGGTCAGGCAGGGATGGGTGGGGTCTGCATATCTGTGTGTGTGTGTGTATGTCTGTGTGTATGTGTCTGTGTGTGTGTGTGTGTGTGTCTGTGTATGTGTGTGTGTCTCTGTGTGTGTGTGTGTCCTGCTGCCTCCAGCACTTTCGTCTCAGGGAAAGGAGGGTGGAGCTTGCCACTTACCCCGCAATAACTGCAGCAGATTCCCCTTGGGCATGAGCTCCGTGATGATGTAGACCGGATCCCCTGCAGATGCCACAGCGTACAGTGCCAGGATGTGCTTGTGCCGCAGCTTCTTCATGGCCTGGATCTCAGACTGGAAGGTGTGCTGGTGTAGAAGGTTGTCTGAGAGACACCAGTCTCAGTGAATACAGCCCTTGACCTGTGCCCCAAGGAGGAGCTAGGGCCTCCTGAAACAGCTCAGGAAATACGGGCAGCCTAGGAAGACAACGGCTAAAGCCCCCACCACCAAGGCCTCGGTGACCCAAGCCTGATGTATCATCTGCCCTCCTATGCCCCACCTGGCCACAACTGCCAAAGTCAACACTTCCCAGGTGGATGTTTCAAGGTCTTGGCTGACCTGATGTTTGAGGTACTGGGTATAAACCTGAGGGCGAGGCTGGGATTCTGGGTAAAACTCAAACTTCCGGTGACTTGTTCCAATAAAAATGGGTACAGGTGGAAGAAATGACTCCCACCATGATGCAGGTGCCCAGTCAGGATGTTGGGATGCCCTCAGTGTAGACATGCCCACTGGCAGGGCTAGGAGGGAAGTAGCATGTGACCCGCTCACCTCTAGAGATCACCTTCACGGCCACACGGATCTGGTCCTTCCAGAGCCCTTCGAAGACCTCCCCAAAGTAGCCGGCCCCCAGCTTCTTACAGAGTGTGAACTCCTCCCTTGGCCTCTCCCAGTCATCCCAGTGGGGCAAGGGCTCAGATTTTTGCTGGAGAAACAGAAAGGGTGATGGTGGTGGTAGGAGTGATAGCTGGGTCGCTCAGTTTATCTTCTGTCTTCAGAAAGTGTTTGCTCTGAACCCCACGACAGGAGCCCTGTTTATCTTTAAATTTAGAGATACATCCAGCGTAGTAATATCTGAGTGTCTCGCGTAAAAACGCAGCTGTCTTCATCCACCAAGGTTGATAAGCTCCCTCAGACAATTGGTCACTGACCCTTGTCGTCAGGCTTACCAGGGGTCAGGACTTGGCAGGAGCACAACTGAGCTCTGGTGAGCCAGTGTACTAAGAGTGACAGTCAAGAGGAATGCCATCTTCGGAGCCCCTCCTGCCCCCACATTGTACTCCACTTGTCTGACCCCAAAGCAACTGTGTCACAGAGGAGCCAGTGGCCTACCTTACAGCAGGGCATGGTCAGTTTCAGGCCGTGGGACAGGCTCTTGGTCTTGTGGTAGTCCACAAGCTCAGACAGGCCGGGGAAGGATACCGCATCATTCAGGTGTAGCCAGCCCACGTCATCCCTCCAGATCCTGTAATGTCGCACGGCCTGAGTGTCCCGCACTGGGGTGGGTGGCCGGCAGAAAGAGGCATAATCAGGCATCCTACCTTGGATGTCCCCCACTTTTCCTGCCCCTGATCCCACCCTGAACACTGCTTGCCCATGGCTACCTGGCCCTCCTGTCATAAGCCATGGCTGCTCTGTTTCCTGCACTCCTAGTGCAGGAAATTATTGGGCCGCGTGTTCAGTGGAACACCTGTGGAGCCATGGCTGCCATGACACACACAGGACATGCCAGAAAGCGCAAGGATACAACCCAGCTTTCTGCCCCCAAAGACTGAAAATTGGAGAAGTCAGGGCTTCTTCACAACCAGAAGAAAGGCAGATGACCGTGTGGTTGGGAGAGCCTCAGAGCTATCATAGGTGAGGTGAGGTCTGAGAAGCAGTACCAGAAAGGACATAGTCTGCTCCTGACTTCTTGCTGACTCTGACCAGGAAGGCTCCCTTTGAGTTGTCCTCAGCCTGCAGCCTGTCCATGGCCTCCAAGCGGGAGATGCAACCAAAGAACCACCTGCAGGGGAGAAAGCCAACCTCAGCCTCTTGATTCTCACCCCAGCCCCACATCCACCCAGCCTCTCAACTATCTAACCCTTGCCATGTCCATCTGGAGTCCTAGCTACCCCGGCTCCCAACTAAGCTGCCTCTCTCTCATGCTGCTCCCAACCCTGCAGAGGCCTTTGGGCCCATTGTGGACCCCGGAAATCCTAAATAGCTGGTTCTGGACACCAGGTCCTCATGGCCCAGAAGTAGAATAGGAAAGCACTGCCTATCATCCTGCTCTGGACGATGACCACCTGTGTATCAGTCCACCCCACCCCCAAAGGCTTACAGTTCCATCATGTGGATGTCTCTTAACAGTCGTGGGACCAGAACTGTTGATGGAAGCTGCTCATTCATTTCCTAGCTGCCCAGACTCAAAATACTCAAACAGAAACTATATTAAAACACTGCTTGACCAATCACTTAGGCGTATTGCCAGCTAGCACCTACATCTTAAATTAACCCATTTCTATTATTCTGTGTATTTCCACGAGGCTCGTGGTTTACCAGCAAGGTTTCAGGGTATCTGTCTCCTTCTGTAGCTACATGGCATCTCTCTGACTCCACCTACACACACACACTCTCTCTCTATATGTGTGTGTGTGTGTGTGTGTGTGTGTGTGTGTGTGTGTATATATACATACATACCAGCCTGGCTATATTCTGTTGTAATAGGAGCAGCGGGCTGCTTTCCGCCACCCAGCTAGCTTTACCCGAAATAATTACACGGAAACTGTATTCTTTTAAACATTGTCTGGCCCATTAGTTCCAGCCTCTTATTGGCCAGGTCTTACATATTCATCTAACCCATTTCTAATAATTTGTGTAGCCCATGAGGTGGCTTGCCAGGAAAGATCTTAACCTGCATCTCTCTGGAGTGGGAGAATCATGGCAACTGTCTGACTCAGCTTTTTTCTCCCAGCATTCTGTTCTGTTTACTCCACCCACCTAAGGGTTGGCCTATCAAATGGGCCTAGGCAGTTTATTAATTAACCAATGAAAGCAACAGATTAGAAAAAAATCACTCCCACATCAATATTCTGTTATGCCATTGGCTGAAAGCAGCTTCTTTATCAACCAATGACAACAAAACATATTCACAGCATACAGAGGGGAATCCCACAACACAGACCTACAGACCCCAGCCTTGGCCCAGAAGGAAGTGGGAGAGGGATCTTTCATACACATGTTCACATAACACGCAGCCATTTGCACATGTGCACTTATGTGCACAGACATACACACCCATCCATACACTCATATTTACATGCTTACACAAGTATGCACATATACTGTTAAGCACACCCTTATGTACTTGCATAGACACAGTGGCACATACTCCCATTCAAAAGGGTTTCTACATGCTAGCTTCCAACACAAGGGCTGGACATGCCTGAACTGAACTACAGGTGAAAAGTCCATAGGTCATTGGAATTCCATAGGTCATCTCTGTCCATGGAGTCTCCAACTCCCTCAAGAGTGGTTGGAACATGGGCTCCACAGGGAGCCCAACATTCAGCTCAAACTCTTGAAGTTTCTCGTCTCTCCCACAGACCCCTCTGACCACGTGGCTGCCTCTGCTTTGCTCTTCTGACTTCCTCACCTGTGTTAAAGTCTCAGCACCTCAGGGCCTTTGCTCTTGCTATAGTGGCCTCTTCTCTATACAGGATCCCTTCTTTTTCCTCCCCTTCCCTCACCACAGGACCTCACTATGTAGACCAGACTGCCCTTGAATTTACAGATCCATCTGCCTTTATTCCCTGAATGCTAAAGGCACGTGCCACCACCTGACTCCTCTCGGTCTTTCATGTACACCACCCATCTACCTTGTTCCCATCACGAGCCCGTCTCTGAAACTGTCATAGGCACCGTTTACCACTGGTTTTTGTCTCCTGTGTGCTCAGTCTTCCACTGGGCACAATAGGTGCTCAATGTGAGATGAGGAGTTAGGGAGGGGGGGCCTGAGGAGCAAAACAAGAGACCCCTCCTGCTGGACCCTTCCCAACCTTAGCCCAGAGCAATTGGGTGGCTGTGGGCAGTGCCCACAGTAGGCACTACTGTAGTTCCTCAAAGCCTCTAGGGGCTCAGGTATGTGGCCAGGAACAGTGGACTGGGGTTCTTGAGGAAACATGAAGATACATACCACCGTGTTTGTATGTACCCAAACGTGATAGGTGATAGATAGGCGTGCCCTGGTAGCCTTCGGTTTCCTGTAACTAGGTCGCACATCTGGTTCTGACTGCTTGGAAAGTGAGCACTTCACACCTCCAACAGCTCTTGAATTCCCACACAGATCTTGTCCCTTACAGTCAGCATCCTAAAAATCCACACTGGGCCCTTCTGTCCTATCTGAGTCCTAGCAGAACAGTACTTATGGCTGGAAAGTAGTCATGGGTGGGTCCAAAGGAGAGGCCCCATTCCCCAGTCAGTGCCACACAGAGGCACAGCCCCATTGGCAACCCTTGTACCAGGATGTTAAAGATCAGAGTATGACCAACTGAATGTCTAGCTAGGATCTTACACCCTCTGACTTCCTCAGTCCATCCCAATTCCCACCTCTTCCCCTGTACCATCTCTCGAGGGTCACTCACGGCTCAGACTCCACAGTTTCCTTCTCAGCCAGGTAATCGTGAGGCACATAGCCCTCAGCCAAGGCCTTGCCTGCTGCATCCAGCAGGGTGGCCCACCACCACTTTTCCTCCTTCCTGGTGACATGCAGGAGGTCTCCTGCCTGAAAGCTCAGTTCATCATTTGTTCGCGCCTTGAAGTCCCAAAGGCCTATGTACTTAGGGCCCGGGTAGTCCTTGTCCCGAGACATCATGGCAGGCTCGATGGCAGAGCCAGCTGTGAGCTGCTTGTAGACACTTGCTGCTGGCAGGGACAGGCAGGATTTTCCCCAGCCAGCTAGTCACACCTACTTCCTTATACGGTCAGAAGAGCAGCCTCTCCTAGTACCCATTGGAGATGGACTCTAGTGTCTCCACCCCAAAGGACCTTCTGCCTTTGTCCTCAGGATCAATCCATGCCGGGTGTTCACACTCTTCTCCAGTGGAAGTCTGCCATCTAAACAACCTCTTTACAAGGTCCAGTCACAGTTACAAGGAATAGCCTACTAGACGGTGAGCATACAGCTATCAGCTGAGCCCTCAACCCCTGGGTGTGAGTCTTAGAGCCAAAGAATGGGGAGGGGAGCGGTAGAGGGAAATCTCAAGGACGGTGGGCAGGTTGCTAGAACACACAAGGAACAGAGTTGAGAGCCAGGAGCTGCCTTTTCTACAGAGAAACCCTCCCACACTGACTGGTGCCTGCCAATGGAGCACATACTAACAGATACTGAGAATCATGAAGGACTCAACAGTCCTGACAGCCACCTCCCTGGATAGGTGTCCACCCACCAGACACTGGCAGGACTAGATCTAGGGATGGCATCAAGACAATCAGGTAGGACCTGCATTAAAAACAAGGGTGGGAGGGGCCTGGGTGAGACTTGTGGACCAAGAGAGGACATATCCCAGCCTCCTTTAAATGAGAACGCTCAGATGCCCCTGTATACTGAAGAAGTTCCCCCAGGGACAGCATGCTAGACCACATGATGACAGCTGGGAACACAACAAGAGCCAAGGAATATGAAGGCATATACATCTGTGTGGGTTATGGGATGGTTTAGAGGGCTTCCTGGTATCTTCTGACTTGTCTGTAAACTATAGACATCAGCTCAAGAAGCAGGCACCGTCCTGTCTTCCCAGATAAGTACACAAGAGGGCAGCCATAGAAGGTGAGGAATGACTAAGAAGTGCCCACACCACCGGGGCCTCTGCAACCCCTCCTCCCTCTTTCCCAACCTTCCCTCCTGCTCTTTGCCTCTACCTACCCCCCACACCCCTCCCAGGCCCCTTTCAACTCACCTCCCATGTTTCCCCAATTTCTGGCAGCCCTGCTTGTGATTGTTCCAGTCTTCCTAACTGTCCCTTCTCCTCCCATTAAACCTTTAAAACTCCAAAGATTCCCCATCTCCAAAGGGACCCTAACCGCCTTTCTCACTCCGGCTGGTCAGTTGTATCCACTGTGGGGTGCTCCTATACAGGAGGAGAGGGGTGGGAAGGGAAATTGACAAGTCTGTAAGAAAGCGTAACATGGGAAATAACATTTGTTGAGACTACCCATTTGTTGTGATCAAGCTGCCCTCACTCCCCCTGACAGCTGAACTTCCTTGTGGTCTGTAATTGACAAGGATGTTTGTGTTCTTTCTGGCTGGTGGGTCTCCACAGAAGGAGTAGAGGTATAAAGGTTGCTCGGCAAAATAAAGGTTGCTGTTCTTCTTCCACCTGAAAAGAAGCCTTGGTGTCTCAATCCCGGCACCCCCTGCCAGTCTCAGCTATCCAGGCTGCAGCACTATTTGAATCTTTTTCGTCCTTTTTTTTTTTTTTTTTTTTTTTTTGGCAGAGAAGCGTGGGAATGCTGCTGCTTCATGCTAAGGATCAAAAACCCTGGTCCACATGCATGCTAACAATCTACAGGTGAGAACTGGGCCAGGTCTTGAATATTCTTTCTTTGAAGAGCTATAGCACGACTCCCCCGCTTCCTAATAGGATTAAGGATAGCAACATGTATTATTTAGTAACTTCACACCAACCCAGTTCCCATAAGGTGTGGGAAAGAGGCATTAGAGGAAGAGGAAAGGAGGAAGGATAGTACGGGCAGAGGTCAGCCTCAGGAACTCTGGTTGCCTCCCTTGTCTGCTCCAGAACCCTCAGAGTTGTGAGCCTCTGAGTCCAAGCTGCGTCCCAGACAGCTATGTGTCCCTAGATGAGACCGTGGGCAGCTCAATGGAAGATACATCGGGTAGCTCAAAAGTCCTTGGCCTCTCCACGGAGGGCCAAACCTGTTCATCTTTGACTAAACACACAGGAATGTGCCAAGACCCAGCCAAACCTGCTTCCGTGGCTTGGCCACAATCCCAGCACCATCTTTCTCCCCAGGCTGTGCCATCCTGTCTCTAGTGTCCTCCTGGTTTGACTCATGGTAGCCTCTTAACATCAGAATGCTACCATCTTATACCAGCCCTTGGACCCACACTGCTGCTCTGTGTGCTGGCAAAGCAGGGAGACCCCCGCAGCCAACTGCCAGTTCCAGATTCTTCCCCTCCAGAGATCAGAGCTGCGGGTTAAGGCAGAGAAGCCTCAGTCCAATCCGAACTGCCCCTTCCACCTACAGAGACCGTCAGCACACTCTGTCGGCCTGGACTCCACAGCTCCTAGGAACATCCAGTTCTGAACCTGCAGCCAGGTTGACTGGGTTCTCACCACCTCCACCTATGGTGCAATCCATGCCCTCAGTCCCTCTCATTCAGCCCTGCTTCCCCACGAGAAAGCCCATGACTGGCTAAGCCCCAAACTCTTTGCTGTAACTTAACACGTCACATGTGAAGTTCAGCTCCCAGTTCTGTTACCCAACCCACAAATATGGTTGGTGGTCATGAACAAATTGGCCTCAGTGGGTGCAGAGCTGGCCCCAAATTCCATTTCCTCTAGGGGACTGCCAGGCTTTCTGCCTTACAGCCTTCTGGATACAGCTTCTAGGAGAGTGAAATGGCCTTGGGTCCCTGAGCAGAAGCCCCTAATCCCCAGTGTATCACTCCTGGTTAAAGTGTTGAGTGACCCAGGACCCAACTTCTGCAGGTGTCACGCTCAAACACAAAAGTGACCCACAGGGGCTTTGCCCCAGAAAGTAGGTTGTCTGGTTGTCAGAACCCTTCCTATATCTCCATCCTTCTGCATCTGGACAAGGCCTAGGAGTTCTGACCACCTTTCTGAAACTGAAGAGCCTTCTGACTTCAGCCCCAGGCCAGGGAGCTGGAAGGGGCTGTTCACTTGGCTCCGGCAATCTTCACCGCTAATATCATGGGGGTCCACACTGTAATGCCGCTTTGGCTCTGGGTGCGGTTCAACTCCCATCTTTTAGAGTCTCCAGCACTCCATTCTGGGAGCCGCTATGTGAATCCATTTGGAACACGTTTATTGAAGCTGACTCTGTGTGCCTAAGGTTTGCCCATACCTGTGGGGCAGTGGGCTGGGCAGGTGATGCTACTGTCTCCTCTGAGTATCCAGCTCAAAAGGCTGAGATACGCTTGGGAACCCTTGCACCGGATATTCCATCTAATCCACAGTAAGACTTGAGAGAAATTGGGCTTCTCATCCCTGATCTTAGGAGGGAGTTGAGGGCAGGGAGGAAATGGCTGGCTTTGCTGGAATTCCGTTGTCCAGCACTTTCTTACAGCCCTTCTTCGATGCTTTATCAACACTTTGGAAACACCAGGGATTCAAACTATGCCAGGAGGAGGACATCAGCCCTCACTTCTAAGTGGGTACTCATGACCAGGCCCCATCTGCATGTATCCATCTGGTGTGTTTGGTTCTCGCAGGCTGTTGCCGTTCCCAGGTGTATAGCATCTCCCGTGTGTGTTAGTGATGAGCGTTCCCTGGGGAGACACCCTTCAGGAAGCAGTTGCCAGAACTGCTGCCTGTGGGGCTGGAGACGTGGTCACGTGAGGCTCAGATGGAGCCGCCGGTGTATCGCGTTCAGCTTCTCCCTCAGCGTGGCGAAGGTGGGACGCTCCTCGGGGCTGCCCTTCCAGCACTCCACCATAAGCACATAGACCTCTGCTGGGCAGGCAGCTGGGCGTGGCAGGCGGTATCCACGGCTGATCTGCTGTAGTGTCTCATGGTTGGTCATTCCTGGTAAGGGGCCAGCGAGAGGGGCCAGGCAGCAGTTGCCTTGATTCTGTCTGGGTGACACCAAAGAGATTCCCCCAACCCCAGCCTCTGCAAGACCAGTCTGTACTGGTTCTCCAGCCCCTATCCAGGTTATCTTTGGGGATCAGTGACTCCCAGGGCAGTCTCTCTCTTCTCTCAGGGAGGACCCCAGGCTACCTCCCTCTGACTAAACTTGCTATGATGAATTATAGTTGCCTCTCAGACAGCTCACCTTCATAGGGACACTGGCCATAAGTGAAGACCTCATACAGCAAGATGCCAAAGGACCAGACATCTGACTTCTGGGAGAAGACACGGTAGTTAGCTGCCTCTGGTGCCGTCCACTTGACAGGGATTTTGGAGCCACTGCTTGGGGAGTAGACATCATCCTGGGGATGAGGGTAATGGTGGGGAACTCAGAGTAACGCCTTCCCCTCTGCCGGGGTTAGGAGCCTAGAGCCCCACTGACCTTGAGCAGCCTGGCCAGGCCAAAATCAGCTACCTTGCAGGTGAGGTCATCACCCACGAGCACGTTCCTGGCGGCCAAGTCCCGGTGAACAACACGTCGTTCCTCCAGGTAGCTCATGCCCTCAGCTACCTGGCAGGCAAACCCCAGTAGGTGAGGCAGGTTCAGGGCCTTTCCCTCAGGGCCTGCAGAGAGAGGGGAGGGGTGGCGAACTCCCGAGGGCACAGGCTGATAGCCAGTAAGACAAGTGCGTACGGGCACACAATCTTCCTCTGTGCCTTGGCTCCCCCTCCCCCATCTCGGAGGAAGTGAGAACAGCACCACTTGCTAAGGCCTAGCAGGCGAGGAACAAAATGAAAAAGGGAGTCCTGCCCTCACCACAGGCCCCAGTGCAAGCTGCTTCTTGGCACCTCCCTGGACCCCCAAGAGAGATAGTACTTAACCCAGACTACCCCCAAGGTAGCCAAATGTAGGCCTGGCCCAGACCCTTGGCCTCAATGCCTTTGCCGATCAGAGGTTCAGTAGGACCAGATGTCTGCATCCTGGGCCACATGTGTCCCTTCCAAAGGCCTAAAGATTCTGTTTGGTGGACCCAGGGCTTGA